AGTACTGCTTCACATGTTCAATGTCTACAAATAATTTTTTTATGTATTTGAGGTTTCAAAAATATATGCAGACTTTCCAGAACCGATAATGTGTATCTGATTGCAGTGCAACATGAACAATGTAATAAAGTTCTGATTAAAACATGTAGAATACTTATACAAGAACACGTTAAAATTTTCAATACCCATGTATGATGCTATAGTTGTTCTAAAGATTGAGATAATAGGTAAATATTCCTATGGTGGCAGAACAATGTTATTGTTAGAAGATGTGAAATAAGTATAGAGATTTTTTATGTTTATCTGAAAAAAAACAGATGATTTAAAATTTTAAACAAAAATCACTTTTATCAACTCCTCTTTCCCATGTATGTCTAGACATTCTGTGTTTTATTTGCCAGCTTTGAAACATTTTAAAAAATATATAGCTGTGATTACACCTATCTTTCTGATGTTTGTTATATTTATGAAGCTTCCTGCTGTCAATCTAAATGTGCATCCAGAAGCTGTAATCATTTAACACATAGTCATCATATAATCCCAACCAAGGCTTAACTTTTAATATTCAGAGAGTCACTTAGATTTTTTTTAATGTTGCCTTGTATTAATGCATCTTGAATTGTTAGAGTTTATTTGCAACAATAACATCAAAACCAGTTGTAAAACAGCTGCAACTATTACTTTGGAGAAGATGAGTACATTGAGTTTTTTTCTAGTAACACTATTGTGTACAAAGTAACATGTATAGTAATTATTACATTATGTAGCAGAAAAATATGTTCTAATAATGCAAAAAAAAAAAAAAAAAACCCAGTACATTGAATTAAATGTTGCTTCTGATATTTAGTGACTTCCCACAAAGCCTGTAATTTATATGCCCCTTCCTGGAACTTTTTAGCATAGGAAAATCGAAATGAATTCAAATTGTATGTGTTTGTTGCTTTTCCAAGGATCCATCCATTAAGGGAACATTCCACTGGTCTGGTAATGAACAGATGACTAAGTTTGAAATGGCACGTGCTATGGCTGATGCTTTCAATCTTCCTAATAGCCACTTAAGACCGGTAAGTAATTAATCGGAATGAGCTAACTTGTAATTGGTAAACATTTGTCATTTGTTTTGCTATGAAATGTTAACTTTGAGATGTATGAACTGTAAACTTTAAAGATAACAAAATAGGCTGGTATTGAAATAGAAGTTTGATTTATATGATTAACATGATCTGTATGACTTGTATGATTTGAATGTATTTGTCTATTAGAGCACTGTCTTTTTTTTTTAAACAATTTTATTGATTTTCAAAAACAATACACAAACAAACAAAACATAAAACATAAAAACATAAAACATCTTTTCTGAAAGCTGCTTGATCCCGGGTTACAACTCTTCGTACAGACACAAATTCAAATTCATATTCATTTTACATACCATTCCATATCTTATTACCATTTTCAATTTTTTATATATCTTCTCCCCTCTTTTAACTTTCTTAATTTTATTTTATTTATCTCATCTCAGTTCAAATCATAATACTTATTATTCTTTGTCTGCTCTGTTTCCAGCTATCCATTTATCTTTTCTCTTTAAACAAAACTTCTCCTGTACACTGATTGGAGTATGACGCCTTTAACTCTTTTCCCTAAATTTATAATACTTAATATAATACATAACTTGCATTGGGATTCTGTTTAGTACATTCTAAAATTACACAATGTATTTTATAAGAAAAACAAACAAAAAGAAAAGAAAAAATGTTATAGGTATATGATGTAATTAAAACAACTATCAATGCCAATACAAATCTAATCATAAATATTAATATTCATTTATATCTTAAACATTTTACACGTTACTTTTCAATTAAATATCATACTTTTATGGGAACACTTATACTTTCCATAGTTATTTCCCCCCCCCACATCACATATTTTAAATCATTATATCATTAAAATGTTCTCATTTCTCCTACTTCAATTCTCTCATTTATTTCATTACCTTCTTTTTCTTCACAAAGATTTCACTGAATTACACTAAATGTTCTATCCCATTTTTGGTTACATGTTGTTTCCAATTTTCTAACATTATTTCTAAATACAAATATAAAAATACAATCTTATGTACTTTTACAGAATCCCTTTTTCAATTAAATTTACCCATTGTCTCTAAATGAATTTTGTTTCTTTACATCTTGCTCCCCACCATTGAGGCTTCTCATCCCTTCCTTTCTCCTTTGCTTATTCTTCTCCTTGCCCTTTTTACCCCCTTGTCTCTCCACCTCCCTTTTCCTCTTCTGCTTTCCCCCTTTCTGTTGTTTTCTAACATTGTATCCACTTTTCACCTTTTTCTCTTTCTTGGTCCCCTTTTTCTTTTCCTCTTTCTCCTTTCCTTCCCCAAATAGAGTCACTTGTTCATCAAAGATGGCTTCTTCTTTATCCCAGTCATCCTGCTGCGCAGTCAGTTTTTCATAAGTACAAACCGCCATTTCTAGAAATTGAAAAAGTGTGTCCAAAGAATCTTTCCCTTCTTGTTCTTCTTTTTTGTATTTTTTGTATTCAATTTTCAATTCATCCACAAGTGATGCCATTGTAGAGAGAAAAAGTTTTTCCAAGACAACCACCCAAGTGCTTTTAATCAAAAATAATTCCCAAAAGTTCCAAAGTCACCAAACAATCCAAATAAGCTGTTTCTTTTAGTACTTTTGTCTTTCTTCCGTTTCTCTTTCTGGGGTTACTATTTAGTCACAAAGTTCCAATTAAGGTATATCTTTTAGAAGTCTTATTAATATTTAATAGCTCTTTAGAATTCTAGGCAATCTTCTCCTTATTTTCAAATTCTGCTCCAATTTTTTTTTCCTCTCCCTTTTTACTTACAGCAAAAAAGATTTTTTTTTTAAGTATTCAGAAATCCTTGTTCCTTTAATTACCTCCAATGCGGGTTTTCCGATTTCTCTTGCAGTTCCATTCACTGTCACGTTAGGAAGGAGAGTGAAAAGAAAAAAAAAACTTTTCCTTTTAATTTCCATTCGCTGCTTGTAAAGCTCTGGAAACGATGTATCTTTAGCAAATTTTAAGTTCCAGGATACTTTCGTTACTTTATCCCGGTCAGCAAAAAACACTTTCACTTCTTCACAGCTCCTCCTGCGCTTTCTTTTTCCGGCTGAGCTCTTCTATGTGGCGGCCATTTCTGACCGCCGCTCAGCTGCCTTCGGAAAAGGGGGTTTAGCCGGCTAGGGAAGAGAGGTGCGATATCTCTCGACCCTGCCAGATCCCCCCTGTCTTCGCCACCTTCTACGGAGGTGGCTAGCCCCGAAGCCGGATGGCTCGGGCAGCGAGCGCCGGCAGAAACCGCGCACAGTCGCGGATTCCTGCCTGCCCCAAAGCGCTGCAAACCGGAACTCCCACTAGAACACTGTCTTAAGGAGATTGTGGGTATAAGAAATCAAAAAGGAGGCTTTCTCCTTCTTTAATTTGAAATAACTTGATGGTATAGTTATCTTGACTAAATAGGATTATTGGGTTAAGGAACGTAGTGATAAATAATCTTAAGAGTTTTTAAGAGTTTTTATTAAGAGTTTAAGAAGAATATATATTGTTGTGCGTATAGATAATCTAAACCTTGACCTCTTTTTTATTTTATAAAGGAGAAACTACAATACATTGTGTATAGAAAGAAATAGAAAAGGGGTGTTTGAGTAAGATATATAGAGATACATGCAAATATAGATCTTTCAATTGGTAAATTGAAACCCTGACTACTGGATTACTGCTCTAAGTTAAAAGTGAATTAAGAAATTAAAAAGGGGGTTTTCTGTCGTTTCTTCTCTATTGGGATTATATTTGAGGTTATAATTACTTTGATTAAGTATTGTATTTTGAACTAAGGAAATATAGTGATAAATAAGTTTTGATTACAATATTAAGAGATTAAGGGGAGTCTATAGGTGATTATATATAAATAGAAATTAGATTCCCCCTTTTATTATAAATAAAAGGAAAAAAAGAATAAACTTAATACTTTGTGCATAAGGAAAGGCAGGAGGGCTTTGTCTGTGTAGGATATTGTTAGATATATAGTGATATTGACTTTGAAATAGAGAAAGGGATAACAAGTGGTGCTAATTCTATATAATTCTAATAAAAGAGATTTGAAAAGAAAAAGGAATAAATTGAAAGTAAGAGATTAGTTTAAAATATATTGTAAAGGAGATAATAAAATAGGTAGAAATAAATAGAGCTTGAAAATAAGACAAGTGCCATGACATCAGCCTGGAGAATGGCAAAGAACAGGGGTCCCCAACCGCCGGTCCACGGAACAAGTCTTACTGGGCCGCTGGTTGCTGGGCGCCGCCATCTTTTTTTGGTAAAAAAGTGCTTCCGGTGAGCTTTTCCGGGTAGAAAAAGCTCACCGGAAGCACTGGCGCCGCCATCTTTTTTGACAAAAAAGTGCTTCCGGTGAGGTCACCGGAAGCACTTTTTCGTTAAAAAAAGATGGCGGCGCCCAGTTGATGCCGGTACCGGGCCGCGGCGCCCAGCTGATGCCGGTACCGGGCCGCGGCGTCAAAAAGGTTGGGGATCACTGGCAAAGAAGACAACATCTAGTCCAACATTGACAATTACATCACCTGCTGGTCAAAAGACAATTGAAGGAATGTCAGGAGTAGAAAAACAAACTGTAGCCAATATGCAAACAATATAGGCTTCGTTAATGACCATTCAAGAAACCATGCTTGAAATGCAAGAACAACAGATAAAAATGCAAGAGAATATTTCTCAAAATCATATGGAATTGAAAGGCAATATTAAATAAATTAGAAGTCAAAGTTGATACTATACAGCAAACAATGCAAAAGAACGAGCAGAAACTAGAAGAGGTGGAACTTAGAACAGTACAAAATGAAAAGAAACTGGAACTAATGGACAACAGGATGATGACAATAAATAAAAGATTAGAAGAACAGATTATCCACCTAGAGATGGACCGCGCTGCCTATTACGAGGTTTCAAAATATCATTGAAAGTAGAGATGAAGATCTGAATGTGCTTATGGCAGAATTACTTGTGCCAGCTTTATAAAGGGAGACCCGAGAGATCCTGCTAGAAATTGATGAGGCCTATAGAGTTCAAACGAGTTATGCTCGACGTAACAGGTTACCCAGGGAAGTCCACATGCGATTTGCCAGGAAACAAGTACGTGACATAATATACAAGATAACGCGAGACAAACCTTTGGTTTATAAAGATAAAGAAGTGCAAACCCTGAAGCAGGTTCCCAAGAAGGTGCGTGAACAGAGAAAAGAGTATAAGTTTTTGGCAACACAATTTATCCAGAAGAACATAATGTTTCGGTGGTTAATTCCAGAAGGCTTGTTGGTGACATGGCAGGAAAAGAGGATCAGGATAGATAACTTAGACAAGGCGCAAGATTTCTATGAGCAGATTGGAGGAACAGAAGAAGAAAGCGGTAGAGAGGAGCTAGAGACAGAAAGCCAAGAAGAACAATAACAGCAAGATATAGGAGACCTAGAACAAGAAGGAGAGAACAAGGAGGAGACGGAAGGAAGAAGATTAAGAACACACCCGCAAAGAGAGACTAGAATTAAAAGAAGACAGATAATATCCCACAAGTAGAAAGACGGAAATGGAAATGAAGCTATTATCATTAAACATAAATGGTCTAAACTCACCCATTAAAAGGAAACAGATACTATCTAGATTAGTCAAACATAAATTAGAAATAGTATGCCTGCAAGAAGTTCATATTAAAAAACAATTCTGGAAATGTTTAGAATATCCTAAATTAGGAAGGTTATTTGTTGCCCTAGCAGATCAAAAACAGAAAGGGATAGCGGTATATGTTAAAAAAGAAATTAAGGCAGTAGAAAAATATGTAGACCCACAAGGGAGAATTTTGATACTTGAACTAGAATTAGGGTACAAGCCAATGTTATTAGTTACAGTTTTTGCGCCAAATGACAACCAAAGTCAATTCTATAAGGATTTACATGAGAGAATCGTTGAGATGGGACAAGATAATGTATGCACTGTGGGAGATCTTAATGCGGTAGTAGATATAAGGAAGGATTATTTTAGTAATGCAAAGAACAAAAAGAAAAGGAAAATTTTGCCCAGATCCTTTTTCAATGACACAGGCACTAAATTTGATAGATCAATGGAGGAGAATAAATTTGGGGAAAAAAGAATTCACGTTCTACTCTAACCCACACAAATCGTGGTCTAGATTAGACATGGCGTGGATGAACGCAGAACTAGGAAACCAACTAGATTCGATAGAGATTACGACAAATGTATGGGCTGATCATAACCCATCAAAAATAACTTGGAAAGGAAGGAAAAGGAAGAGTAGAAGGTGGATACTTAATCCCCAAATTTTAAAGGAGAAAGGTTTTGTAGAGAAAATTAAGAAATGGAACTTTTTTTTAAGGAAAATACAGTGGAGCAAACATCATTACAGAATTTATGGGATACAGCCAAGGCAGTCTTGAGGGGGCTAATAACAGCATATACAGCGAAAAGGAATAAGGAAAGATGGCAAAATCAGAATAAATTACAGGAGGAGATTAAAGACCTAGAAAGTAGATTACAAAAAAAAAAAAAAAAACACAAGATGAAAAATTGAGAGAGATGATTCTTACTAGGCATAAATTGAACATTCTAAATCAGGAAGAGAGAGTTAAAGAGGTGAAAAGGGCAAAACAGAATTTTTTCGAACATGCAAATAAACCAGGGAGGTGGTTAGCCCATAAGTTAAGATTAGAAAGAGAAAGAAGGTTGATACAAGAATTGGAAGATGATGATGGAAAATTAGAATATCGAATGACTGAGAAAAAGAAAATAGTACAAAAATATTTTGAACAACTATATAGGGAGGATGGAATAAACTCTGAGAATACAGAACAATATTTGAAAAGGAAAGGTCTCCCAAAAATTAGAGAGGAACAGAAAGAGATATTAAATAAAGAAATAACAGTGATGGAATTGAAAAGGGCGGTTGAAAGGCAGAAAGATAATAAGACGCCAGGGCTGGATGGTCTTCCAGCGGAACTGTACAAATGTATTTATGAATGTCTTGAACCAGTGATGTTAGATGTGTACAACGAGGTATTAGACTTTGCTAAATTACCCGATTCATGGAGAGAAGCGAATATCTCACTAATTCCTAAAGAAGATTTAGATCACAAAGAGATTAAAAATTATAGACCAATCTCACTCCTGAACTCAGACTATAAAATATTTGCAACAATAATGTTGGAAAGACTAAAAATTATATTAAATGAACTTATTCATATTGACCAGAACGGTTTTCTAGCTTCTAGACAGATAAGGAACAATATAAGGATAGTATTAAACGTATTAGAATACTATGAGGCCCACCAGGAAAGCAGGCAGCGTTGATTTTCTTGGATGCTCAGAAGGCCTTCGACAATCTCAGCTGGCAGTTCTTGATCCAACAGGTCGAAAATATGGGATTTGGATCTAAATTCAAGAAAATGATTGGCACAATTTATTCGAACCAAAAAGCTAGGGTAATTATAAATGGGGAGATTACTGAAAACTGTAAGATTATGAAAGGTGTTAGGCAGGGATGTCCAATGTCATCTCTGCTTTTTATCTTGACCATCAAAGTGCTTTTAAATCAGATTAGACAAAGAAAGGAGATAATTGGACTGAAGAGCAAAAAAGAAGAATATAAAGTACAGGCGTTTGCAGACGACTTAGTGTATTTTGTGGAAGATCCAATGGAATCAGGAACCTATCTAATCCAAGAATTAGAAGAATATGGGGCAGTAGCAGGACTAAAAATTAATAAAGATAAAACAAAAGTAATAACCAAAAACTTGTTAGAAAGTTAAAAAAAAAATTGGAAAGGAAATTGGGACTACAAAATGTCAAAAAACTTAATTTGGTTAACAGGAAGATGCTCTTCCGTAAAAGAGGATAATTATATGAAATTACTTTGACAGATAAAGAAAGATCTGGCCAATTGGGGAAAATTACAACTATCACTATTAGGCCGAATAGCGGCCATAAAAATGAACATACTACCGAAACTATTATACTATTTTCAAGCAAAACCTATAAAATTGGATAAGAAATTTTTTCAGGAATTAGATAGGACGGTAATGAAATTTATATGGATGGGGAAAAAAGCACGAATAAAATTGAAAATGTTACAAGATAGTAGAACCAGAGGCAGCCTTGGCCTCCCAAAATGGGAAACATATTATCAAGCAGCAATTTTACTATGTGATAAGGAGTGGATAAACTTAAAAAATAAAAGAATTTTGGTGATAGAAGGTCATGACCTCCAAGTTGGGTGGCATGCCTTTCTATGGGATAAAAAGAATAAGACCGACTCCTATTTCCATAGACATTTGATAAGGGACTCACTTTTACAAGCATGGGAGAAAATAAAAAAAAAGTATTATTTGAAAAGACCAAACTGGATCTCACCTATGGAAGCTATATTATATCCAAATACAAGGGACACTAAAAAAATGATTAGATATAAAGAATTGGTAGATGAACAGGGGGAATTAAAAACACTGGATAAACTAAAAGAACAAGGGATAATATTAGACTGGTTGGTATATTTGCAAATTCAAACTAAATTTAAGAAAGACGTAAAGGAGCTAAGGATAGATAAAGATTTACAAAAATTGGACCAAATCTTGACAGGCAAGGATATAAAATTTATAACATGAACATATAATTATTTACTGGAGGTAGAACTAGAGGAGGAAATTATTAAGGGACCAATGATTTCCTGGGTGAGAAATGTGGGTCATAATATAAATTTGGATGAGTGGGAAAAGACTTGAACCGAGAACTGGAAGCTGACTTTGTCAACGGCATTCAAAGAAAATCAATATAAAATGTTTTGTAGATAGCACTTAGCGCCGGCACGACTGGCGAAAATGTATCCAACCTTGAAATCAGAATGCTGGAAGTGCAAACAAAAGAAAGGAACGTTTTTCCGTATGTGGTGGCAATGTATAGAAGTCAAAAAATACTGGAAGAAAATACAGAAATGGCTTTTTGAGATTACAAAATATAAATTGAATTTGGAACCCGAAATGTTTTTATTAGGTATGATCAAAGGGAATTTGAGTAAAGATAAAAGATACACATCTTAACTGCAACAAGAATCACGTTAGCACAAAATTGGAAGAGTGATAAAATACCACCAGATGAAGTTTTGATTCAAAAAATAATGGACTGTGCTGAACTAGATAAATTCACTATGGAACTGAAAGGCAAAGAGGATCGAGAATACTGTGCGATGGGAGAGGTGGTACGAATGGGTGAAGGATAAGGATAAAAATAATGTATAGTCACAAAATAAGAAACATTTATATACAATGACACAATAACTGTTAATGGAAATGAGATTTTTGCATCTTTTTGTTTTTAAAGAATAATAATAAGAAATGTTAACTTGAGGAATAATTGCCCTTTATCTAATGAAATTTTGAAATTGATAATCCAATTATTCGATTTTCCTTTCACTCTTTGGGAAGCAATATTTGTTTTTGTCCCTGCAATTTTAAGTAATAACCGTACAACAATGTAACTCAGAAATTTCAGCTGCAATTAAGATGCTATGTAGAAAGGATGAAAAAATGCTTTCTGATTATAGTTTCTTATAGCTCAGTGAGTGACTATCTGAATTGTCCTTTTACGTTGCCTTTTATGTAAATACTCACTTAAATGATTACATGAAGGCAAGTGCAAGGAATTCTAGACACCTTAGGGCCTGGAAAATTAGAAAAGAAATACTTTAAAGCATATCAAATTTATCAAATCTAGAAATGAATTCCTCTCTGTCTCTTCTTTCTGCCTCTAGTTTCGTAGTAAAGTTAAAATGTAAGGTAGAGGTAGAACTCACAACCAAGCAAGAGTGTAGTTAAGTGAGTGTAGTTAAGTGAGTTTTGCCCCATTTTACAACTTTTCTTGTCACAATTATTAAGTAAATCACTGCAGTTGTTAAGTTAGAAACACCGTTGTTAAGTGAATCTGGCTTCCCCATTGACTTTGCTTGTCAGAAGTTTTGTGATCACATGACACCGGGATGCTGCAACCATCATAAACATACACCGGTTGCCATGTGTCCAAATATTCACATAACCACAAGGGTACTGCAACAGTCATAAATATGGAAAACAGTCATGTCACTTTTTTCAGTGCTGTTATAACTTCGAATGGTCCTTAAATGAATGATTGTAAGTCGAGCACAACCTATAGCAACTTTTGCTTGATTTACAGTAGGCTCCCTTTAGAAGCTTTTTTTTCAGAAGACACAAATGACTTTAATGTCTGCATGTATCTTTGATTCAGTGACTAAAACTTGGATAGAAGTTTCGGCAAATAATTTGTGGTTCTGTTTTGCACTTTTTGCAGATTTCAGGATTTCTTGCTGATATTATTACAATATTACAGTATGGGAGAGAAAAATGGTTTGGGGATGGGGGAGAGAGGACCCTTAGAAACAACTGCATTTTGGTTTTCTTTTTATTTTGAACAATAAGTACATTGGTTTTTTAAATTAAAGATTACAGATAGCCCAGTGCTGGGTGCTCCTCGTCCTAAGAATGCTCAGCTTGACTGTTCCCGTCTTCTGATGTTGGGCATTGGTCATCATACTCCGTTTCAAGTTGGGATCAAGGAATCACTTTGGCCTTTCCTTACTGACAAGAGATGGAGACAGACAGTGTTCCACTAGCTTGTAAATATTTTAGTGTAAGTATGGTATATGATGCACTTTTTTAAAAAGGGGAGAAAATAGTTTTGTATTCAGCATTCTGTGTTTCAAGTTGAATCAGGTAAAAAATATGGTCTTGCACTAGTGAAATTGTAAGAAGTGTTGATAAAAAAATTAACCTTGTTTGAAGCTGTTAATATATGTTTATGTTTATTACTGGCTTATAAAGATCTAGTGAGCTACAATTATTGCAGTCATCAGTAATATGGAAGGAGAATGTTTCCTCTCATGCAATTTTTGTGTTTAAAATTGTTGGATAGAATCTCTCTTGGCATTTTTTTTGTGGATCACTATAAATAAACATTTTAATGCAGAACTTCAATGTTTCCAATGCAATTTGAAATTACAGTTAAAAGCACTGGAGATGCTTTAGATATGATTTAAAAATTATAATAAAATAAAACTTTATTTTTGTTTGGAATGAATGTGTACTTACACTTCACATGTTTCCACATTGTACTGCATCTTGAACCTCCAGCATTGCATTAAACTCTTCACAACCTTTTCTCAAAAATGCCATTGTAAGTACACATTGAGGTGTATTAACTAATGTTATTTTCTATGTCATAAAAGTACATTTCCCTGAACTTTAATTAATAATATTTGAAGGTGATAAAATCCTGAAAACTATTCAAAGAAATACTAATACATTAAATTCCAAATAATTACAGAATTTTACTTGTTTGCTGTTGCAGAATAGCTATTTTCAGGCAGTGACATCATTAAGTAGTACATTATAGTGTTATAAAAGGCAAAACCTAAAGAATGCAAATACTTAATAGAATTTGGAATCCATATCCACTTTAAGTTTATTTTTTTAAATGCAAATATAGTATTTTACCTAAGTAATGGGAATATCATTTACAAGAATTCTGCTAAAACAGAAGATAACATATATTCTGACAGCACCTCTTTCCTACTGCTCCTTGACAATGCACCCAAGAAAAAAAAGTGTACTTCTTCCTATGACTTTTCCTTCAAAATATGCTGATAAGAGTAGCAATCTAATTAATAAAATAATTTGAGTTGTCCTGGCTGTCATTTCTTTCACATAAGAAAATATTGCTTTTATTTGTCCCAAGGTGCTTTTTCAGGAAGAACTGGACTTTGGTTTTGTTTTGTTTTTTTCAAGATGTTTTGCTTCTCATCCAAGAAGCTTCTTCAGCTCTGACAGGATAGTGGGGAATGGAGCTGAAGAAGCTTCTTGGATGAGAAGCGAAACATCTTCAAACGTCTAGTTGCCTCCTGAAAAAAGTACCTTTGGGACAACCATGACCTGGATGACTGAGATTATCTACAGACTATTGCTTTTATTTGAAGTCTTGCTAATGCTTTGCTAAATTGAAAATATAAAATTAAATAACATTAGCATAACATGTAATGGTAAAGGTTTTCCCTATCTAGTTGTGTCCAACTCTGGGGAACAGTGCTTATCTCCATTACTGAGACAAGGAAGCCAATGTTGTCTGAAGACATTTCCACAGTCATGTGGATCAGCATGACATCACAGCGCAAAGTCTGCGGCGAAACACGGAACACTTACCTTCACACCAAAGTGGTGCCAATTTATCTACTCGCATTTTCATGCTTTCCAACTGCTAGGTAGGTAGGAGGCTGTGGCAAGAAAGGGAGCTTGTCCTTTGCACAGCACTTGGGTCTTGAACCTAGACCAGTGATGGCGAACTTTTTCGGCACCGAGTGCCCAAACTACAACCCAAAACCCACTTATGTATTGTGAAGTGCCAATACGCAGGGTGGGATCCAACCAGTGTTATAACCGGTATGGTGAGCACGCATTTTACACGCAGCCATGAACACGGCCACACCTAACATGCACTGTGCGCACGTGCACAGGGTTTGGAAGAAATCATCAGCTCTGCTGCCTGGACAGCTGACAAGCGTTGCACGCGGGTGCGCAGCATTTGAAAATCCTTTCCTGCTTTTTCAACCTCAGCTGTGCTGTGCAAAGCAGCTAAGGTTGAAAAAGCAGGAAATAAAAAGCAGCCAAGAGCCCAGGCAGGAGGTTGGGCCAAAACAGAAGCCAAGAAGATCAGCGCAGAGAACGGTTCTCTCTCTGCTGATTTTCCCAGCTACCACCAGGAGCGGGAGCAACTGGCCCTGGGCCAAGGCAAGCAAGCGAGGGAAGGGCGGGTCACAAAGTCAGCAACTTACCAAATATGTGGTCAAGTGAGGAGTCAGGGCAAGCAGGCAGGCAAACAAACAAGCGGCAACAATAAGAAGCAAGGAGCAGGAACCAGAGCAGCCAAAGAACCGTTAGGCGGTGTGCGTGACTCCGGAGGCAGGAGAGGCAGATGGGGTGAGGCCAGCTAGTGAGGCAAAAAGTTAAGGTTTTTGCAAATAGGATAGGGGAGGTCAGTGTGATCTACAAACCCGAAAATCAGCTGGGAAGTGCGCATGCACGATGGAGCTGAGTTGGGCTGACCACTCGCATGCCTGCAGAGAGGGCTCTGCATGCCACCTGTGGCACACATGCCATAGGTTTGCCATCATGGACCTAGACTGACAAGTTTGGCTTAACCACTAAGCCAGAGTGCCCCCCCATCACTAA